TTCTTCTTCTCTCTTCTCTCTCTCTCTTTATACACACACACACATATGCATGGTTACAAGGGCATGAAATAAGGCTACGGAAAGGCAGGCTTAACTAGATGGCATAGTGGATAGGGGCTTGGCTTTAAGAAGACTTGAGTTCAAATCAGGCCTTAGATACTTACTGGCTATTCGACCCCAGGTAAGTCACTTAACCTCTGTTTGCTTCAATTTCCTCAACTATAAATGGGGATAATAATAGCACCCACCTCCAAGGATTGTTGTGAATATTAGATGAGATAACATCTATAAAGTGCTTAGCACAATGCCTGGCACATAGTAGGAGCTCTATAAATGTTAGCTGTTGGCACAGTGGATAGAGCACCAGCCCTGGAGTCAGGAGGACCTTAGTTCAAATCTGGCCTCAGACCAAACTCTTGACACTTACTGTGTGACCCTGGGCAAGTCACTTAACCCCAATTGCCTAAAAATAAAAAAATAAAAAATAAATGTTAGCTGTTATTATTAATGCCAGGTTAAGTAGTTTGTATTTTAATGTAGAAGTAATAAGGAGATGCTGAAGCCAATGAGTGAAATGGATTTAGGAAAGTTACTTTGAGAGATGGGTAGAGACTGGATTGGAGAGAGGAGATTGTTGGAGCAATTGGCCGACTAAGAGGCAATGACAAGGGTCCTGAGTGAGTAGGGAGAGATGATGAGCTAGTGCAGTGGCCCTGTGAATGAAGAGCAGAGATTGGACTGGAGAGATGTTGCCATAGGAACTGAGCTCTTTCTATTTGATCATATCACATCAAGGAAAAAGCCACGTAAGACAATTTCCTCAAGCCAGTAATGTGATCAGAGTGTTCCTGGTGTGAAAAATCTCCCCATTTTTATTTCCAGTGCTAAATTTCAGAACTTTAGCATGACCCGAAGAACAGACCCCAATGTTTGTGAGTTCACACAAATATTTTAACAGCCTCTCCTCTCCTCATTAGGTGCCCGGGGAGAAAAACAGATGAAAGCAACATTCTTCCTGTTTCCTTGGCATGAGGTGTGGTGAACCCAAAGATGGGTGGGGTAGAAGGGGGTGGTGGTAAGCAGCTACTAGAAAAGATGATTCACAGACATTCCCAAACTGTCATTAAGAAGAGGAGAGCTCCCCTAAGTTAGTCTAGGTGTCCATTCTGAGTTTCAGTTAGAAAATTAGTGGCTTCAAGGTGGAGACTGAAATATGCATTTTCAGACATGGGCAGTGTGTATATTTATTTTGCTTTACTGTGTTTATTCTTTATAAAGATTTTATCTTTTCTTTCAGTGGGAAGGGGATTGGGGGAAGAAAAGAATGGAGACAGTGCTTTCTTCCCTTTCCCACACCAAAGAAAATAATAATAGCTAGCATTTATAGAACACTTTAAGGTTTGCAAAGCATTTTATGTTATCTTGTTGTTCTTCAGTTGTATATGATATTTTGTGACCCCATTTGGTGTTTTCTTGACAAAGATACTAGGAGTAGTTTGCCATTTCCTTGCTTAGCTCATTTTACAGATGATGAAATTGAGGCAAGCAGAGTGAAGTGACTTGCCCAGGTCATGCAGCTAGTAAGGGTCTGAAGCCTGATTTGAACTCAGGTCTTTCTGACTCTAGGCCTGGTGCTCTATCCACCACACCACGTAGCTGCCCTGTATTATATTATCCTAGATATATGTATTGCGTCTCTGTTCTCAGAGTTGTGTTAGCAAAGACATTTATTTACATATCTTGTTGGATCCTTGCAATGACTCTGTGAGGTAGGTGTTATTATTATCCTACTTTAGAGATGGGGAAACTGAGGCACAGAGAGGTTCAGTGACTCGCTTAGGGTCACAAAAGATTTAGACTCAGATTTTTCTGACTCTAGGTCTAGCAATTTATCTAGCTGAGCATTTAAAAAAACGTGCAGAAGGAAGTTCAGAAGGAAATACAGGCAAGCAAGACAGTTTTAAAAGTAACAAGATGGATTGACTATAAATATAAATATATATTGTACATACATATATATCAAAAGCAAGACATCCAATAGAGATTTGTGGTTTCATGTATAATCACATATTTCTGGGGGGTTTTGTATATGGAAATATTCTTTTTTTGTGTGTTAAGTGCAAAATTGAAAATTAAAAAAAAAGTATTTAGTGCCCTTAGTCCTGGCAAGAGAAAGACAGGAGGAAAGGAAGGAAGCAGCTACTTTTTTGCTCTGGCTTCTGCTTTCTTAAATGTCAAGCCAAGCTGAATTTTCTTCATTTTCTTTGTTGCGTATCACTAGACAGCTATGAAGGTCAAGCTCAAACAAAGAACGCTCATAAATGTCACCGTATTGTCTGAGAACAGTCTCGGCACATTCAACACAATGTTCCTGCGTCCTTCCTCAGTCAGGCCTGGGTGGATAGGGAGCTGAAGCTTGATCAGCAGGGTCATATTTATGAGGTAGGTGGAAACTAGTAGGCTGGTGAAGAACTTACCCTATATTAACATGATTCCATGGTGACGTGGAAATTATTTTTAATTGTTTTTGTGACTCATGACCCCTCCAAATACTCTGTGATTACCCGGACCTGGGTTCGATCCTGACGGTCTTGAGACCTTTGAGATGGTCAATTTCTTAGGCTTGTTGCTCCAAAATATGAATAAAGTTTAGATAGGACTCCTGTCTAGATTTCCTCAAATATGTGTATCAAGTCCTACACTCCCACAAGGCACTTAGACTACAATGTGATTATCAGGTCTCACTGGCCCCAGAGGATGCCTAAGAAGCTAAAGGCTAGCTGGGAGCACTGCACAAATAGAGAAAAAATTAAGGAACTCAAACAGCCCTTTAGACTCCCAAACCCCAAGATGGTAAAGACAATTGGGAGGTATTTAACAAATCCTCCCCATTCACCTTCCATCTGCATGGTATAGGCAACTCATGGTAGTATTGTTAAGAACTGGCCAAGTCCAGCCTTCCTGGCCCCCCATGATATTACTTTAGCCCTTCCACAGCGGGACAGTCATCTCCCTTCAAATGACACACTATTAAGGACATCTTCTCTGTCTGGGGGACAGATGCCTGGCTCTCAAACTTAGCAACTCTTGAGAACTTTAGAACTAGGGAACCCTCAAACTCAAGTCATACACAAGGCTACTGGAAATATCCATTTTCATGATCTTTGCTGTGCTCAGAAAATATATGCATTTTGCTCAGAAGGTGGTGTCTGGGAACTCTTCTCTAAGCATTTTCAGGGAAAGCACAGGCCACATGTGACTGTCCTGGAAATCGCCATTTTCTGTTCCAGAGGAGGAGAAATGGCAAATCTTTCACTCCCCTGAACCCACTCACCTGCTGCATTTTGGAAATCTTCAGTGAGATTTTATACCTCTTTTACCAGTTGGCCAATTCTGTTTTTTAAGGTGTTATTTTCTTCAATAGTGTGTGTGTGTGTGTGTGTGTGTGTGTGTGTGTGTGTGTGTGTGTACCTCTTTTGCCAAACTGTTTGTTCTCTTTTAATAATTTTCATTCATCACTTTTCATTTCTTTTCCTAAATTTTTCTCTGCCACTCATATTTGATTAATTTTTTTTTTTTTGGCTCTTCCCCCTCATTCTTTAGCTCTTCCAGGAATTCCTGTTAGGCTTATGTCCAATCTGCATTTTTCTTTGATGCTTTACTTGTAGCTGTTTTCACATTGCTTCTTCTGTGTTTATGTCATGATCTTCCTTGTCATCATGGTAGATTTTAGTGGTCAGATTCTTTTATTATTGTTTGCTCATTTTCCAGCCTATTTCTTGACTTTGAATTCTATGTTAAAGTTAAGCTCTGTTCACCTTCGGGGTGAACAGCTTCAGGATTTTTCCAGCTGCTGTTTTCACAGTTAGTTCTGGGGATCTGTAAGTTTTTGGTGCTTCTAAGGTGGCGTTATCTGGGGAGAGGTGTGGTCACTGCTTTCCTGGTCTGTGTTCTGGTCCTTATCCAGGAAGGCCTACTGCTCCTTTGTAACAGTAAGCAGTAGTGCTCCTCTACACCTGGAACTGTGACCAGAGCCCTGCTCCCTTGCAACCACAAGCCTCCTCTCCACCCTGGAACTGCAACCCAGAATTAGGTAATGGGTGTACCAACTGACAGGTCAGGGGCCCCCCGTAATCTCTTTTTGACTAGTTGTCCAATTTCGTTCCTATCTCTGGGCTGAGAGCTCCTAAGACTGCTGCTGTTGTCATTGCCTCCAAGGTCCATAGCTGGTGTTGCTTCCAGGCTGCACTCCCCTCCAGCCCCTACTCCAGTGTCACATCCCCCATGTTGTCTTGAGCTGGAAAAATGTCTCACCCTGAACTTTTGTTGGCCGTGCCACTCCAGAATTTGATTTGATGTGTTATTTTAAAGTTGTTTGGGAGAGAACGTTGGGAGAGTTCAGCTGGAATGCTCCCTCTCCTCTACCATCTTAGCTCTACCTCTCATTCTGGAAATCTAAGGAAGAGAAAGTGAAGAAAAAGAAAAAGAGGGAAGCCTATATCACAACTCAATTTGATGGACCACAGGAGGGTCCCCAGCCAAGACTCCAGCCTCCTGAGCCAATCAGTCATCAGGAGGCAGCCCGAATCTCTGAAACCTCAAGAAACAATTTAGTCTGGTTGGTTTCCATCGGAATAATTATAGCACTTACCTCCTACATTTGTTAGGATTTGAACCACCTAAGAAACCTATAAACCATCTGAGGGTTACCAAACGGAGATTTATTTAATGATTACACAGAAAAGTTATTCAGCAAGAATATGGCAATGATTCACTTGGGTACAGCTTCTCTAAAGTGTTTGTTATGGTGATGGGTCAGAGGTGTATGTCAGCCTTGAGGAAGAAGCTGATTCTTCCTTGTCCAATGGCTTTTTGTGCTTGGGTAACCAGGAAGTCAAATCAGTGATTTGAAACTTAGTCCCCTGAACCAATTAAGTCTCAAGGGTAATTTCAATGCCTTTTAAGGAAAAAAAAACCCATCCTATCATGGGTGGGGCAGATGTAGTTTTCACAACAAAGAGCATGAATAATCTTTCTGGACAAAGTCTATTTCATTTTTTATCTTTTTATCCCCGTCATCTGGTTCAGTGCCTCGTAAACAGTAAGTGCTTAATAAACGTTTGTTCAGTTGAATCAAATTAACCTAAAACAAATGTATTAGTGCCTAGCTATCGGCTTATTGTCTAGTATGCTTCCTTTTATACTATGACCCTAATTTACAATCTCTAATTTTAGTTCTTAATCATGGTATTTCATATATTCTACTGCAGATGACAAACATGTGTGGCTTTTTCTTTTCTTACTCTCTTTTTTATGTCTGTAAATTGATAAAGTTGCAAGCCAGGGACCTAAGAAGCCTGGTATAGTAGAAATAACAGGGGGTTTGGAATGAGAAAACCTGAGTTCAAATGCTATTTCTACCTTCTACAGCTTCTGACTTTTGGCAAATCACCAAACCTCAGTTTCCCAATCTGTAAAACGGTCAGGTTTAATTAGATGACTGTTAAGCCCTCATCTAATTCTAAATCTGATGATCCTTATGGTTAGGAAATTCTTCCATGATCCTCTGGCTTTATTCAATTCCTGTCCATGCATAGGCTGCAGTCACTGTTCTAAATCATTAGTCACAGGAAGAGAATGTGATCCTTTCAACATGAGCACAACTTCCACTCATGCTTCACTGGGCAAGGAGGCCAATACAAAGTGTTGTGCAAGGTTCTTAGATTCCAAAAGTGTGAATTTGCTATCAAAGGGAAGCAGAGAGTAAGAAAAATTTATCTTTAATAACCTATTTTTGTCATAACCAATTAAACTTCTGATACATGTAGATATTACACAGAAAACCAAGTACACGTATATGTACATATGTATACATGTACATAATAACAAAGATGTATAAATGTATGTGCATATATGTGCATGTGTCTTATTATATACATATATATAGAGTATGCATGCATATGTGCATATATAGAGCACATACGGTGTTATATGTGTATATAACATATATAAACATACACATATAACTTTTATCCTTTTACATTGATTCCTTTTAGATAGGGATACAACAATTAAGCAAAAGTCTCACGAAGTATTCATTGTACGTAATAATGTCCAAACATTTTTGTCTTAACCTGAAATCTCTGATGCAGTAACTGTAGCTGACTTTAACAGTGACTCATATGGATTATCATTTTACCCCTGATATAGAATGCCTCCTTCAGCCTCTCATCCTGTTAGGAACTGGTGGGTGTGTGTGTGTGTGTGTGTGTGTGTGTGTGTGTGTGTGTGTGTGTGTGTATGTTTCATAGAACAAACTTTATTTTGCCCCAAATACAAAACATAGAAAATGCAAAGGACTCAAAGTAACCTATAGAGAATTGATACAATTTTCTTTCCTCTCTAGTGAATCGTGCTTTCCTCACAGGGACTCGTACAATCCTCTAGACTCACAGTGCTACCTTTTCTATAGAGGGACTAGCTTGGTGTGGAAGAGAAGAGATAAAAGCTAAAGGAAGTGAAAGGTGCTAATTACCTTGAGGGATGCACCTTGTCTTATCTAAACTTCTGTATTTCCCCCAGAAATTAGCTATGCACCCAAAAGGTGCTTAATATTTTGTTGATTTGTTTCTCTTCCATTATCCCCATACTACTTGACTATATATTTCCTCATCTGATCCTCACAAGCCTGTAAGGTAGGTGGTATTATTACCTTCATTTTGCAGATGAGCAAAGGCAGACTGACAGAGGTTAAATGACTTTTGTTAGCTTATTACACTGCAGGGTCATGGACAAGCTCTTGTCACAATTATGGCGATTTTTTTTCACAAAGAATGGTGTGAAGTAGGTAATGCGGAGAGGCACCCAGGTAGCACAGTGGACAGTCAGGGTGATCTGAGTTGAAATTCCAACTCAGATGCAAACGGTGTGACTGGGCAATTCATTTGACCTCTCTCACCCTCAGTTTCCTTATCTTCAAAATGGGAATAATAACAATACCAACTTTAGAGGGGTTTTTTTGAGGCGCAAATGAGACAGTATTTATAAAGCACTTTGCAAACCTCGAAGCAGTCTATAAATGCGTGCTGTTAGTATTATTTTACCCATTTTCCAGCTAAGCTAGAACTCAAAAAGATTAAGTGATTTTCCTAAATGACATGGCAAATGGGAAAACTGCCATTCAAACTCAGGTCCACTGGCTCCAAATCTAGTGATTTTTCCCACCCCTAGATATATGAATACATAAAGTGGGTTTCAGATCAAGTAAGATCTGATAGGATTTCAAATCTGGTGCCTTCTTTTGGCCAGCAAGGATAAAAGAGATTGGGAAATATGCCTTCCCCATGCATAGCAAAAAGGAAAATCATGCTCCTTAAAATATAATACTTCACATTTACGAAAGTTTTTTTTACAATTATGAAATGTTTTATGTGTGTTATCTTATTTGAGTCTTATAACTACCCTCTGCAGAAGGTAGTATAAATATTTCCATTTTACAGGTCAGAAAACTGAAGCTCAGGGAAATTAAGTGAATTGCCCAAGGGCTACACTGCTAATACTTTGCAGAGCAAGAATCCCTGCCAGATCTTATTCTCTATGTCCAGTGCTCCTGTTGCTATTATACACTGCCTATCCCATGATAGGAAATGTACAAAAGTTGGGGAACACTGTTAGTAAGATGTTGTATGCACCAAGTGAATACTTTTTCTGAAATGGATGTTCCAGAAAGCTTTGGAAAGACATCCATTTTTAGCTACTTCTCATATTTAACAATTCTTGAGTCTTAATTATTTAAGCTGTTTTGACTTGTTAAAAAATCACTTATTCTTAGAAGAAAAGCAGGGACTGTTTCTGTTCTATTGTTACATCTTATGTTCAGAAAAGCATGTTGATAGATGGACTAAGTGATATGTTAAAACAGACCAAAGAATGGTCTGGATGCCTGTCAGCCTTTTTTTTTTTTGTCTTCCTTAAGGCTTGTCTGGCAAAATTCACACATTACGAGAAACCAATGGTTTTGTAAACAGTCTTGTTTATAAAGGAATTTAAGAGTATAAACAAAAGCTAGTGATGATTTAAAATTTTTGTTACAAAACAAGTACAAGATATTTTGTTGTGCATGAGTGTATTTACATGCACAAAAGAAAAAGAAAAACATAAGATGAGCTATCAAGGAGAGAAATTGATTTTTTCCTGGCAAGTAATGTAATCATTTTGTACGGAAGCATTTTCTTTCTCTTTTTTTTTATTCATTCATTGACAAATTATTTAGTAGCTAGTATGTGCAGACCAATCCAATTTAAATCAGTAGGCATTTATTAAAACTCTATTGTTTGAAACACTGGCTTAGGTTGTGGGATATTCTCAGGTGTGCTAAAAATCAAGAATCCTGTGTAACTAATATTGCAATCTTATATGCAGTACATAAGTTCTCCATAGCAATGAATAAAACTGTGTTGTAAAGAAAAAAAAGTTTGAGAAATAGTGTATGTAAGATCTCTTCATCCTATTATTACACACACACACACACACACACACACAATCAACATGCTCCTGGACTACTACCCCAACTTACTTTTGCACTCATGTGTTGTATCCCAGGAGACTGGCTTACCTTAGATTCTAGGGGACACTGTGGGTCCTGGCTCCTACTACTACTATAGCTCATGAGCCTTCACTGTTTCATTTCTCCTTAATGATCAACCAGTAGACATAATCAGCTTTTAGCAAAGGCATTTATTTGTATGACATAAAAAGAAAAATGACTATAAAACATTGTCCCCTATAAATCTAGGAGTGCACTATCCCACAGGTACACTTCTTGTTTGCATACTTAAAGTATATTGCTACTGAGAGACAATGTAGAGAATGTATGTGGTCAAGGCAAACCACACCTCTAGTACCATAGGGCCTGATATCCTTTCTTTCTATGCTATGGCCTCCCAAAACTCCACACTATATATGAGGTGCTGGGCTCCCAGGGTATGTTCCTTTCCATAGCTCAACTCTCAGTTACCACTAGCTCTTTCTTGAGTATACAGACAACTTCCGTATCTCCTGCCAGCAGTCCTGCTTTTTCCCTTGAGTGATTGTTTCTCTGTATTCAATTCTGTCTAGAACATATATCTCTATTCTCTATTGGATGAAGTGTCCCTTACTTGTTAAATATTTCCCCTTCAATCCAACCTGGTTGTTGGGGAGGAGGAGAGAGAAATCTCTCCTCTACAGGAGTCTTTTCCTCGGGTAGCTCCTGCACTCACCAGAACTCCAGAACTCACCTAGGGCTTAGTTATTTAAAGCTGTTTAAAAGTGTTTGGTCTTTGGTCTTCCAATGAGGTTTCTCCCTTTAATTCTATCAGAGGAAGATGTTATATACACTTGACCTCTGGAGATTTATTGAAAAGGAACAGAAAAGGAATATGCATATATTTCAAGTGACATGGCACCTTTATAAAAATTGACCATGTGTTAGGGTCTAAAAAACCTCATAAACAGAGGCAAAAAAGCAGAAATATTAAATATATCTTAGATACTATTAGGCATAAACTCCAAAGAGATCAAACACAGAGGAAAAAGACCTATTTGTAAAAAAATACATGAAGTGGTCCATTTAATTGTAGGAAAGAACTGGAAATGAAGTGGGGAATTAATTGGGGAATAGATGAGCAAATTAACAACACTACACATGAATATAATGGAATATCATTGTGTTGTAAGAAACGACAATGGATTTAGAGAAACCTGGAAAAAACTGTATGAACTGATGCAGTGAAGTAAACAGAAGCGGAACAATTTATTGAAAAGCCACACAATTTGAAAGGAAAACAACCATGAATGATCTGAGGCTGCTATACAAAGTAGTAATTAATCATAATTTCAGAAGATTGAAGGTGTAGAAGCATGCTTCTCCACTCTTAGGAGAGAGATGATGGACTAGAAGTGCAGAGTGAGACATGCATTTTCAGGTACAACCAATATAACATAAATTTGTTTGCTTGGCCATATTTATGTTAAAAGAGAGGGCTTTTATTTTGGGGGAGGAGAATGTTGTTTAAAGTGGCGGTGGTGGTGGGAGAAGGAAAATAATGTCAATGAAACAAAAGATGTATGCAGACAAGAGCAGAAGGCAGTTCAGTAGAGTACACAGGTAAGCAGGATGATGTTGGTGCCACCACATAAATTTAGTCTATATTATTTAAAAAAACATAAAATAGCATGTAAGAGGTTAATGAGGGTGGCTAGGTGGGCACAGAGGATAGAGTGCCAGGCCTGAAGTCAGGAAAGACTTATCTTCCTGATACTAACTGTATGACCCTGGGCAAGTCAGTTAACCCTGTTTGTCTCAGTTTCTTCATCTGTGAAATGAGCTGGATAAGGAAATGGCCAACCACTCTAGTATATATGCCAAGAAAATCCCAAATAGGGTCACAAAGAGTTGGACATGATTAAAAAACAACTGAATAATAGGTTAATGGTTTCATATACAATTCTCTTTTTCTGACCTTCATATTTATGTATTTATATAAATGTTCATGTTTGTTGATGAGTTTCTGGTTCATAATATGTTTTTAAGTAAAAAAAAATTAGCTCTGCTTTCAAATATTTTGAAGCTAGCTTCATGTCATTTACAATCAGACCTACCTTGAAGTTAAGGCAAAGTGGGATCATTGCTCCATGCTTTATACTTCTGGGGACTGTATATTGCTTAGTGGGTAGTCACTCAGGAATTCAAGAGCTTGGGCAGTAAATCAGGGAAGAAGCTGAAGGAGAGAATGACAATCTACAAATTTCCCATATCAGAGCAAAGCAGACAAACTGACCATTTTCCCTTCCCCATGCAAGCATCAGACTTCCTGTTGCCCATTTGAAATCACTTTCTCTGTTCAAAGCAGTGCTTGCTATACATTCTAACCTGATTTCACCCACATAAATTCGTTGATCTGGCCTTACAGTTTCTTGTTTTTTGCTCTGAGCCCAGAACTCCTCCGGGAATTGTCTTGCTCTTAAGCACCCAGCACACAAAAACATTGACCTCCCTGATTCTCACTAAAAGAGAGAATAAACTAGGATCACCCAGAGTACAAAGCCTAGATTGGTCATTAGCAGGAGACGAGGTCACCTGGCAGGCAGTAGCAACTGGAGCAGCAGGACTCAAATATGCAGACCAAATAGCAAGATCTAGTGATGATTTTTTTTTTCTTTTGAAGGGCAGGGGTAGTCATGCAGCTGTTTTTTCATATGGAGGGAAAAAAAAATCTGTGCAGTTGAAAGAACTGTAATTGGAAGAAGAGTTCTGTAGCTTGCAGTTGAAGGAAGAGACCTAGTTTTTAGTTAAGAATTCTGAACTTCGAGATCAGCCACTGTCCCCTTCCCATATGGCTTTTCCATAAAGGTTATACAGTTCTATAAAAAATATTTATTTGAATTAATATTAATTATTAAAATTATATAAATATATTTATTATATATAAATGTTTAAATTATATATTTAATTTACTATTAACTTAAATTAATATTAATTTAAATTGTATATAAATATATAATTATAAATATTAATAACAATTAAATTCTGCAGTACTCTACTGGAACCTTGATTTGGGAAAGCCAAAGAGTTCCCTAAAGAAATCCTGGTGGAGTATTAAAATATTGAATTCTATTACCTATTTGTGTAATTGTATAACATTTATGGCAAAGCCTATCTCTCTACTTCTATCTATAAGACATAGACATATAGACATATATTTATAGACATATAGAGGCAGAGACAGATATACATTTACACATACATATTTATGTTTTGCTACAAGAGAAGGGGATAGATAGTAGCTGGTCTTGAAGTTAAGATCTGAGTCCAAGTCCATCCCCTGATACAGCCTAGCTGTATGTCCATGTGCTGGGTACTTCACCATTAGTGCTCCAGGTAAATGCTTCTCTAAGACTCAAAGTTATAGACGAGTGACTGACTTGCATTGATGAAAGGATTTTCCACATCTGGATCCCTTATGCCAACAAAATTCACTTCAACAAGCATTTATTAGCCAGCATTTAGTAAGCACTGACTATACTTCAGGCACTGTGCTAAGAGCTGGAGATACAAAGCAAAAGACAGTCCATGCTCTTGAGGAGCTCACAGTCTCGTGGAGAGATAACATGGAAACAACTACGTACAGACAAGATTTGTACAGGGTAAGTTGGAGATAATCAACAGAGGGAAGGCTCTGCCCTGTGCCTGGTACTGTGCTAGGTGCTGAGGAGGAAAATGAAAAATGAAAGTGACTCCCCTCTCAAGAAGTTTACATTCTATCGGATATTAACGAATGACATCCTCAATATAAATAAAACCAGGAGGCATGAAGTTGTGGCTCAGTGTAAGGATGGCTCCCAGGTTCTTCTCAGAGGGCCAAAACAAGTATTTGATGGAATTAGATCCATTGTGCTCTGAAAAGCAAGAAGGAATATCATATTATGGAATGTATGGCCATCTGACCTTACAGTGTTTATCATAGGTCTGAACTTATCTATCTGTCATCTACCTAACAATTGTCTAAATATCTTCCTGTCCATCCACCCATTCATCCATCTATCCATCTATCCATCCATCTATTTATCCATTTTTCCATCTAACATCAATTTCTCTTTATCTCTAAACACAGATATATGTAGACATATATCTGTAGACATATAGAGGTTGAGATAGATATACATTTACACATGTTATATATGTTTTGCTAAAAGAACATATTTGAGTTATGACATAGAGTTAAATGATGATGATGATTATGTCTCAAGTACCAAACCTATTTACTTTTTCTTCAGAGCGTTAGAGTGAAGAAAAGGGAAGAAAAATTTAATGTGTAATAGCTGAAATCTTTTTTTTTTTAAGTCAAGTCCCTTTACTCTGATGAGGAAGAAGGAGATGATAATCAACTAGAAAGTTTTACATCCTCTTCCTTCCTTAAATTTATTTTGAGTCTACTTTTTTTTTTATTTAATTAGCTAAAAATGGCTCCTAAGAAGGAGAAGTCAAAGGCTACTCCAAGGAAAACCAGATGACCGACTTTTTTCTTCACTGAAGCAGAATGGATGGACTCCCTGAATCCTAAATAAACATTATTAAACAGTATGTAACAGAACCCAGCTGCAGCTGCTGCTCTCCTCATCATTTCCACAGCCAGCTGCAGCCACTTCAGTTACACATCTGCAGGCCCATATCTACTCACAGCTTAAGACCACATCCCACCCAGGTAGAATGTCTGTAAGGAAATCCTCTGGCAAGGAAATCCTGTTCCAGAATCGAGCTCTCTCATGTATGCCTTGTGACCTCTGGTACTGTTGTCTTACACACATCTTACATTGTCTGCTTTCTTTGATTCCCCTGAACTGCTGAGACTCGACTGCCTTTCACTACTTCTGCTTCGATGTCCTAGTTTCTAGATGCTTGGTTTGCTTTTGACCCATTTTGATCATGAGAGCTGTAACCCTGAACTTGTGATATTGTTAATGCTGGACATTCAGAGGCAGTGTGATTCTTCTCCTGAATACTCCTGGTAACCAATTAAATACAACTTCCACCCTAGAAACCAGACAAAACTACTTAAAATGTCTGCTTTAATGGAAATTTTGAGTCAGAAAAAAAGTAGATTCAAATCTCGTTTCTGACATTTACTAACTACGTGACCAGGGACCAGGCACATAGACACTCTAGGTCTTAGTTTCTTCACCTATAAAATGGAGATAAGATTGAGGCCCTAAAAAGAAGTAAGCTGGGGCTCAAACACACAACCCCCTATAGGATCCCTTCATCCTATTCCTTTGCCTAAGCAGAGGGGGAGTGGGGGCATGTGACCTTCTAGGTCCTTGGGTGCAGCCTTTTACTGAGTCCAAGTTTTACAGAATGAATCCTTTCATTAAGGAGATTTGTTCTGTGAAGTTTGGATTAAGTCAAAGGGCCTCACTTGAAGACCTAGAGGGACACATGTGGCCTCGAGGCCACAGGTTCCCAACCCCTGGAAACCCAAGACAGTTAATGAATGTGAGGGATTATTGAAAATGCACGTCTCACTAATCCCACCAGTCATTTGTCAGAAATTTGTTTCATATTCTCAATCAAAAGCCTAGAGTGAGCACTGTTCTTTATTGCATTAGTCCCAAAGAGGCTATTCTTGAATATAGGCTCTGTGCTTAATTTACTAGGCACTAAATTAAGGGACTAAAATTAAGAGGGGTTGGGGGAGGCTTCCAGTAAAAGATGGGATTTTAGTTTGGACTTAGAGGAAGCTAGGGAGTGGAGGAGGGACAGAGTTCCAGACTTGAGGGACAGCAAGAGACGATGCCTGGAGCTGAGAGATAATGTTTTGTTTGTGGAACAAACTGGATAAAAGTACGTGTGGGGTAGTAAGATATAAGAAGACTGGAAAGTTAAGACAGGTTATGAAGGGCTTTGACTGTCAAAGAGAGCATTTTATATTTGTTCCTGGAGGCAAGAGGGAATCACTGCAGTTTATTGAGTTGGGGGGTGAAATGGTCAGACATGCATTTTAAGAAAATCACTTTAGTGGCTGAGTGGAGGATAGACTGGAGTGGGGAAAGACTTGAGGCAGGAAGGCCCACCAGCTGGCTGTTGCCATAGTCTAGTCTTGAGGTGAGGAGAGCCTGCACTAGAGTGGTGGAAGCGTCAGAGAGAAAAGGGGGTGCATTAGAGAGATGTTGCAAAGGGCAAATCAAGAGGCTTTGCACAGAATTGGAAACGGGGATGGGGTTTGAAAATGAGGAGTTTAGGATGGTTTCCTCAAGGCAGAGGGACTGGAAGGATAGTGTTGCCTTCTACAGTAACAGGGAAGGTGATGGGAAGCAGTTAGTGGGAAAGAAAATAAGTTTCCATTTTGGAAATGTTGAGTTTAAGATGTCTACTGGACTTCCATTTTGAGATCTTGGAAAGCAGCTGGAGAAGCAAGAGTTTCAGGCAGGATAGTTAGATTTGAGAGTCATTTGTATAGAAATGGTCATTAAATCCACGGGAGCTGATGAGATCATGAAGTGAAGTGGTATAGAGAAAGAAGACAGCCCGGGACCAAACCTTCAGTTAGAGGGCACGATCTGGAAGAAGATCCAGCAAAGGAGACAGAAGGAACAGTCAGACAAAGGAGAATCAGGAGAGAGTAGTGACCCAAAAACCCTAGATGAGAAGAAGGTGTCTAGGAAGAGAGACTGATCAACAGTGTCAGAGGCTGCAGAGAGGTCAAGGAGAATGAGGATAGAGAAAAGCCCATTGGATTTCTAAAACACAAATAAATAAGCTTGTTGCTAAACAGAAATTGAAGGTAAGGTTAACCCAGAATAGTGGAGAGATTTAGAATGACCAGCAAATATGGTAAGTTGGGCTTTTGTGATTAAGGAGGAGACTGACATAGTTCACGGATGGGTCCTTGTTGGTTTCAGTCTCCCTTCCCTTCCTTGCTGGGGCCTCTACCTGTCCAGGGCAGCCTCTCATTCAGCTGCCAAATTTAGAAAACCCACTATTTCCTGGAAGCCATCCCTCTTGCCTTATTCCTGTGCCTCCTTGTCTGTTCTGTGATATTGACTTTGACAAAGTCACATCTATAGATCCCCACAAACAGCAATCAGAAAATCCAAGTCAGCAGCACAAAGTTTTCTTTGGGAAAGGAGGAGAGGAGGCCTGTTGATCCTCTCCTGCCACATATCCTAGAGTCCCCTGGAACATCAGAGATGTGGGGAAGAGGGGAGACAGTTGATGACCTTTGCAGTGAGATAACTATCTGCAAATGACTTAGGCCAGGGATGCAGGTCAGTTCAGAATGTGAGGTCTTGGCTCTGCTCCTCTAGTTATATGACCTTTGTCCAGTTGCTTAGCCTTACTAGTCTATAATTTCTGCATCTGTAAAAATGAGAAGGCTGAACTATGTCTAGAGGTGAGAGAGACAGACACACACAAAATAGGGTTGGGGGAGAGAGAGAGAGAGAGAGAGGGAGATACAGAGACAGAGACAGATGCACACACAAAATAGGGTTGGGGGAGGGAGGGAGAGAGAGAGAGAGAGAGAGAGAGAGAGAGAGAGAGAGAGAGAGAGAGAGAGAGAGAGAGAGAGAGAGAAAGATACAGAGACAGACAGAGAGAGAGACAGAGAGAGATACAGAGACAGAGAGACAGACAGAGACACACACACACAGAGACAGAGATAGACAGAGAGAGACACACACACAGAGAGACAGAGAGAGACAGAGATAGAGAGAGATACAGAGACAGAGAGACAAACACACACACAAAATGGGGTTGGGAGAGAGAGATATACAGAGACAGAGAGACAGACAGAGACAGACAGAGACAGAGAGAGATACAGAGACAGACAGACAGACAGATAGACACAGAGAGAGAGAGACAGAGAGATACAGAGACAGAGAGACAGACAGACACACACACACAAAATGGGGTTGGGGAGAGAGAGAGAGAGATACAGAGACAGAGAGACAGAGACACAGAGACAGAGAGAGACACAGAGAGAGAGATACAGAGACAGAGAGAGAGATACACAGACAAAATTGGGTTGGGGGAGAGAGAGAGATATACAGAGACAGAGAGACAGAGACAGACAGACAGAGAGACACACAGAGAGAGACAGAGAGACAGACACACACACAAAACGGGGTTGGGGGAGAGACACAGAGAGAGAGACAGAGAGATACAGAGACAGAGAGATACAGAGACAGAGAGACATACACACACACACACAAAACAGGGTTGGGGGAGAGACAGAGAGAGAGAGATACAGAGACAGAGAGACAGAAACAGAAAGGAGGGGGGAAGGAGGGACAGAGAGACAGAGAGACAGAAAGACAGAAAGAGAGGGGAGGGGGAAGGAGGGGCAGAGAGGGGGAAAGGAAGAATGAGGGAGAAGAAAAGGAAAGAAAGAGGGAGGGAATGAGGGAGAGAGAATGACAGACTAGGTTGGGAAGTGTTGCTACTAGGAGAAAGGGGAATAATGACTCTTCCCTATCTTTTTTTTTTTTAACAACTTTGTATTTATTGTATGGCAGCTATGCTGTGTGGTGGGTAGAGCACCAGGCCTGGAGTCAGGAAAACCTGAGTTCAAGTGTGTCCTTACTTACTAGCTGTGTGACCCTGGGCAAGTTACTTAACCCTGTTTGCCTCAGTTTCCTCATCTGTAAAATGAGCTGGAGAAGGAAATTGCAAAACATTCCAGTCTCTTTGCCAAGAAAACCCCAAATAGGGTTGTGAAGGGGCGGACATGATTGAAATGACTGAGCAATAATATCAACATTTATTTCATACACACTTGTATTCTGTACATATTTACAGATGTATGCTTTGCTTGGGACAGCTAGGCAGTGCAGTGGATAAAGCTCTGACTTTGGAGTCAGGAGGACCTGCGTTCAAATCTGGCCTCAGACACTTGATACTTATTAGCTGTGTGACCTTGGGCAAGTCATTTAACTCTGATTGCCTCAGTCAAAAAAAAGTGAGCTTCTTGAGAGTAGGAATTGTTTTATTCTTTATGATTGTGACCTCAATACCTGGTATAGTCATAGTAGATGCTTAATAAATGCTTGTCGATTAATTGATGGATTTTAGCACTCTCAGTAGGGCCAACCAGCCCAGGCTTCTCCAACCTCTATGTAGGTTGCTGGGAAAGCTGTTGCTGTGCTGTGGGGACCAGTGAGGCTTAATTTACTTGTAGTGCTAAGAGGATAATTATAAGCCACATTCAAGTTTTAGGATATAGTATATAGGCGAGCTATCTGTCTTAATATTACAGTTAGAGGTATTTCTTAGATGATCAAAATAGGATACGGGATTCATGATGAGCCCAACACTTAAGCCTCTTTGGCTGGGCTTTTACAATTTGCAATGATCGCTCTTGCCTTCTGTGTGACTTTTTTCTAAAGCTAAGCCTTCAGTCTGCCAGTCAGTCAATTAGCATTTATTAAGTACCCTCTATGTGCCAGGGATTGTGTTAAGGGCTGGTGATACAAAGGCAAAAAACCGCCCCCCAAAAATGGAACAAAAAACCAGAAACAGATCTCTGCCCTTAAGGAGCTAAAATTCTAGTGGGGGAAGATAACTTAGGAATAACTATATATGAATAAGATATATAGAGGAG